CATCTGGTTTTCAAAATAACATCCATGGATATACCCTTTCTTTCTTGTCAAATGGTTTACTTACTAATCCCAATAATGTATTTTCTCTTTTTTATTCCTCTTGTTGCTTCTCCTTGAGATTTCGCTGTGGTAACTTGGATTAATAGGCATTTGAAGCATAACCTATGTCGTTTACATTTGCATGTATCCTTAGTGATATGGCAAACTGACCTCTTTCTGGAAATGGAGGCATATATACACACATAACACTCTCTAGAAATCTCAGTCAATTGACACATCGTCACACACTATACCATGTGCCTAGTCTAACGCATCAACCTCGGTAATGATCACACACCCCAACTGATGGAAATAATACTACAGATAAAACAATAAACAAATAACAGCCTTTTATCACCATAAAGCGGAACTAATAAGCACGTAGGTGTTCTGAGCACCTGGATTATGAAATGTTAGCCAATGTGTACGTTAGTGGCAATCATATCTAGTTAGAGGAATATAACTAGCCAAGTAGGTAACCTAGCTAGTCCATCCAACCACTTTTCTACTACGAAACCGTTTCAATGTAGAACCTAAGAAATGCAACAAGCATGCTGGATTTCTTTAGTCCAACTTAGTAATAAGCTGTGGGTTTATGTTACGTTATGAGTCATACCTTATATTTGGTTATGTCGGCGTATGATATTGACTGACAGCAGGTCGAGGTATGTGACACGGATTACATTTCGTGACAAGAGGCCGACAGTCAACAGTGAACAACAGCCTCACTCATTTGACTCTTTAGTCTTACTTCCATTTTCTGAGTGATCACTCGCCAGGGGTGAGAGCAACTAAGTACTTTTCATAGTGGACTGAAAACAAAACCGGAGTACAGAAAAGTAACTCGCTGTAGTGGCTTATAAAAATTATCACTGTAAGCATGTAAATGCCAAAAACAATTTACTTAGGAAGATCAAATGATCATTTTATTAACTGAGGTAAATAAAATACACTGGCACTAGATCAGTGAGTTGGCCAGTTTCCAGTTGTAAATTGATATAGAAGTAATCTGAATAACTTTATGCCGTAAATGACCCTATGCTAAGTTTAAATAGTCTTCATTAGAAATCCGATACAAATACGTCGTTAGTTACGTTACAGATAACTTTTAAAATGCTCTATGCACATAAATATCTTTAAGTATACAAATGAGATCTGTCTCCAGTAATTTACATCTAACCGCTTATAAGTTTCTCCGTCGCTTAAAAAACGGATACTAGAAAATAATTATCAGAATCTGAAATTTTACCAGACCTATTTAGGTAAAAATACAAAGTCACGAGAATAGACTACTTGATGTCTAAAGCTTGTACAACTCAGTACTATTTGTGAAATAGTTACTCATCAGCCTTCTTTCCATCTCTATCTATATAACGTGATAAGTTCCATAGCTAATCAGTCGATCAATTTATACGAAATGGGAAACAGCGCAAAACACCATTCACAGATGTATGGGGTTGTAGATCATTGGACTAGGCACTCGACTTCCAACCAGTAAAATACAAGTCCGAACCCCGCCCAACATACCAAAGTCTAAACAACCAAGTAGTACCATTCGCTCTTGATATACATAAGGTTCACTGCCACCTGCACTAAAGTCCAAGTGCTTGATGACTGAATTTCGATCGCATAAGTGTTCCTAGAAGTTATTGGAATATGAATTAATGCCAAAATCATTGCTCCAGAAGCAGTTATGAAAGGTAACCGTAAGATCTACGGTCTGGAGAATCCGATTGTCCAGTACGGAAACGAACTTTAATTCATCCAAAGATATGGGGTTGGACAAAGTTACTATTCCACTTCATTTCTTCTATTATTACCAAGTTCAAAATACGTAATATTTAAAGTTATTGTCAAGTCAAAAGTTTAGTTCATTTGGATCGATACATGACAGATAAGTAAGTGAAAGACTTCAAAGCTCACCGATTCCTGATTAATACAATCAGTCCGAGCTGGTCACTTACCCGTAGATTTGACCAGAGTACCGATTCATTAAAAACTTAAGTTCAAAAAGAATCATATCCATCATTATAATTTCAAGTGGAATGAAAATGGACAGTCGCATACACTACTACAAATACCTTCGTTATGTATAATACACGAAATCAAGGCGAGAAGAGTAGAATAACGGACAAAGTTCTAGTAAACCAAGAGTTTTTGACCACAAAACGAGTAGCACTGCCGATTCCTATTTGTTCAAGACGAAAATGTACTAATCCTATGGCGTTGATTAGCGGGGTAATCCTCGAAATCATGTGAGGGCCTGTGGAGAGTTGTCATCAGAACTGATGAGAACTAGTAGCCTCCGTCAGCGATATAGAATGCCGCCGTTACTATTTAGCTTCATCATAAACGTTATAACGAGCATAACCTTAGGTAAGTTTGGAGTCACAGAGACTGACCTACTCCTTGGAGGTTACCTGGTTGACTTGGAGTATGCAGACGATATTATTCTGCTAGGCAAAAACGCTGACAAAACGCAGGGCCTCCTGGACACCTTTAGCAAAAATAACTACGCCTGGTACGCGTTTCGTATCCATCGAACGTATGATGCTCTCCAGCTGCTCATAATGATAGGCAGTGAAGTGGTGGAATGCATCAACCACTAGGGGTGCTACATCAGTCCGAACGGGCTGGTTGCTGACGTAATCTCAGCTCGAATACCCATTCGACATTTACCAACTTGCGTCATTTCTTGTGCCGACTGGCGAGATATCCGACTACCTATCAAAAGACGAGTTCACTGCCCTGAAGTCCGTCCTGTCCTGTTATACAGCTGAAACATTGTAGTCAAAAGTAGAAGACATGAAGTGACTATAGGGTCTTGATCTTAGACGTCTTCGTAGCAATCCTCACTTTTGGTGGAATCGCCTCATAAGTAATGTGGAAATCAGGTGGAAGGTACTAGGCAAGACAGCCAAGTCGATTAACGTTCTGAACCTCCATCGACATGTGCTGCGCATTCCAAGGCGCCGCCTACCTCAACGTACCATACTGGTTGAAGTTGGATTAGTAACTCCATTTTAGTTAGTTTACTAGAACTGTCACAGTAAAAGTGTCATCTACAGTAAATGATACTGTGGCCAAAAATCAATTACAATCTACCAGTGCCCACGTCCTACTCCCATATTAATGAAGTTGCATTAGGGTTTAGCGTGATCAGACTAAGATGTGGCACCAGTTCATGAAGTCTCATACTTTTTGGTCTGACTTGTGCAGAAAGAAGCAGAATAACTGGCTGGGGTCCCTGAGATGATGGGAATCAGTGGTTGGTAATGACAGAAAATCGGCGATGTATTAATCCTTTGGCGTTTTCTAAAACTTGAACATTTGCACTAACCTTTATCTTGTATTCGTTTACGTTCGCATGAAATCACTAATACTGTGACATAAATTTTTCGACTCATTTGTTCTCAGTGTACTACTGTGGGGTTCCACGTTCTCTGTCGGACGAGTAGTCAATTACGCCTACGGAGAACGACCATAGTTATTTCAATAACAATATAATTGCTATAGCAATTATGCGCCTAATGACCATTCACAGAAATCGTCCTCAGTGCAAATGATTAAACACCAAATGCGACAAGATACCTCACCTCTACGCCATATTTTACGATAACTTTAGTGAATGACCTCACCAACACCTGATGGCGTCAAACGTTGAAGACAGTAAACAAACTCATGAGGAAGATACTTATGATGACATCGTATCGAACTCTGCTGAATACAGAATGTAAAACTGACAAAATGTGCAAAAAAGCACACCGCATAGTTAAACTAGTTTTCGAAAAATTCATTCTGCGTAGGTATTCTCTTAATACTTGGCGCGTGAGGCGACACGATCATTAAGGATTAGCTATCAGCGACTGATGTCCCTTGTAGAAATCCTTGCTCAAAAAATGGGCATGCGCTATGATACCACGCTCCTCAGTATTATAGGAATTCAGATACCCAATTGTAGTGTCACCTTACAGACGAATTCGTCACAGTTCCAGGGACTTTTCACAAACTACAACAATCTACCTTATACACTAGCATTCCTTCTCATATTTATGGAGTGAGGAGTTAATCTGGTATTTATAGCAAGCAGTTGTAACCTGGTAGAACTGTGAGTTCCTGTTTAGCTGCATTTGAATGAGTCACAGCACTAATTCACCCACTGACTAGCAACCTCGTGTAGAAGACCGCTAACCGTCACATAACATCTAGTGTGGTTTTCAACAAGCGACTGATCCTTACCGAACAACATGATTAAAATGATGAACATGCTACTCTCGGTATACACACCAACACTACAAACGAAAACACAACCCGTCGTCATCTCTCAGTACCAAATGCAGCAGACGGGATTGTAAAATCTTTTATAATTAAGCCTCTGAGTGGAAATCATATTAAACAGTAGATTAAAAAGTTCGTTACAACTACGAGCACCCTAACACAGTAGGCCATCAGCTCTACTTGTAACGGATGGCGGTGCTACTTGACTGCCCAGACTCACACAATTGAAACATGGACAGAACTCAGTACCTATCCCCGGGGAATGGAGTGCTTCAATCAATGAGACTTGTCAAGACAAACTAAACGAATGCCGTGTCAGACCAATGATGCTGATAAACATTTGATGAGTACTAGCGATTTTAACCTAATGAAGTGATAATGGCAAACAGATTACCACAGCTAGCCGGGTAAGAACCCAAATGCATCCAACTGTGGGCAGATATGGTCGTCTGTAGGGCGACACGGGACACTAGGAGGATTTCAGTCGACCTTACATGAAGTGTTAGTAAGGCGGACAAACCTTGAGAAACACTGCGCTTACGACTATTTTTGAATATCTAAAACTTAACACCCACAAGTAATCAATTAAGGTAAATCCTAGTTACCTTAGAGTGGTAACAGATGCACACCCTAACCGAATAATAGGTAAAACACAATCACCACGAAGAGATATGCAATATAATTCAAGGGTCTATCGTTTCTTCTGTGTACTTGTTCTTATCTTGTCCAGCAAGTTTGCCAGCAGCTTTCCTGTCCAAAAGAGCACGCCTGTCTTTGTCCAGCTTCAATTTATGGATTACAACCTGTAAAAACATATCGATAAATTAAAGTGAACTTACGTTTGATGGGTGAATACCAATTGGGGCATACGCACCGTTCATTTTTCGACATTGAATCCGTTCGATATGTATGACAAACTTCTTGCGATAAACACGGACAACCTTTGCAGGATTCCTGTCTTTACGCTCTCCTCGAACAATCTGAACTTCATCTCCCTTTCGAATAGGCATGCTACGAACTTTGTACTTCGAACGCAGCTCTTTGGATAGTGGGGCACTCATAAGTCGTCGACGAATATGCGACGGCGCGTTGAAGTACCGTTTGCGAGCTTTCCGACGAGAGCTGCTGACATGTTTGTTAAACTTCATCTCAAATGCTAGGCTTTAGTACGAAGGCAATAACAACCACGCTCGGAAGGACAACTTGCCCGCGCAATCCTGTGTACAGTGGCAATTGAGTGCCTCAAATGTACAATGCCCAATAAAATGGTCCAAATTGAAACTTTGTGTTGCAGAAGTAGCGAATAATGGTTTCTTGGCTAAAATGTCTCTCTCAACAATTAACTTCCATGTAAGGAACGTTTATTTGCTATTCTGGCTCAAAGAAACCTGAAAGAACAAAAATGATCAATAAATTTATCTATCATCAAGCCACCGGTTATGCTACAGGAATGTAGCACTGGTTCTGAAGAAATTAAATAGACCAGCCTACAGACTGATTCCTTTGGGACCAAAAATATTTATTCTTACCGAGTACTGGTATTCTAGCTTTCGGACATGATCAACTATGTTGAATTGCGCCTACATCAAAATAGTGTAAGGCCTTGAAAGGCTACCTTAGCACTTGAAGCGTCATTGGGGGAAATAATATCCCAGAATCGGTAGTATTAGGTTCGAAAACATTCAACTTTTATGCTGAAATTCGCAGCCTTATCATGTTTGTTAACCTGAACTCATAAGGTCAAGCATCGTGTTACCTGGGGTTACGAAGAATTGGCGATTGGCTTCTCTGTCCGTCAACATCGTATGTGGACAGTCACTAAGGAGCTTCTCTTAATCTTGTAGTGGAACATCCTTTCATTTAAAAGCTATTGAAAACGATAAATTGTCAGTTCCTTAGAAAGCAAGCTAGAGGTTAACCACCAGCTAAAAATTGATAAAGTTCGCCCCCGTCAGTCAGATTAAGCCGAGATTCCTCTCTTCACAATTATGCCACCTACCTGCTCGTTACTTTGAGAATTTCGTGACTGTCCACACCATCATTTTCATTAACTCGATGGTAGATTATAGGGAGGACAGAGATCCTTGTTCGAGGCCTCATGAAACACGATCTGAGAGTAGTTTCCCACTTTCCGTGCTTCTTTGTAATAACCTTTGACACAGGTATGCCGAAACCAAAGTGTCTGCCCAATAAGCCAAAGGTACTCCCTGACAAAGGCCTCCAAAACTTAACAGACGACACGCTTGTATGAATATCGTAGTCCTCAAGCATCCAGTGTTGTTTTCGAGCTGGAAGTAAATTCATCGAGCAGTGTTCACTGTTGGGGCATCCACGTTGCCGATAAATCTGGTGTTTCCGCACGACTCAGCACCTCATGTTTGATTCTTGGAATTATCTCTATACCTCTACAATAACAATTATTATTACTGGTTGTCCCTTGGATTACTGGTGAAACGTAGGGCTTCAGTAGCACGTCTCCACTCCACTCTCTTCTCTGCAATCTTTTGAACCTGGCTCCACGACTGCCCACAAGCTTTCATTTCTTCCTCACATGATCTCCTCCATGCCACCCACACCCGGACACCCAACTCATCGTTTCCCATGTGGGTTGCACCAGAATGACTGGCCTTGCGCGTGATGTCCCTTAATGGTCTTCTCAGTGTATGCCTAATCCATCTCCACTTCCTTCTGCATATTTGTTGAGAGATAGGCTCTTGCTTTGTTGGTTCGTCACCAGCCAACTAGAGTTCTTTGTTGCCTATTCCTTCTGGCCACTTGATCGGTCTACAGTATCCAGTGAGCGTAGGCAGCTGTCAGTGTATGTCTGTAGTTTGTTGAAAATGCTTTTCGTAGCGCGCCAAGCCCCTGAGCTATATAGAAGTACCGACTTCACTTTACATTAGTGTTGAAAATCGGGATCCTATTGTTTATGCTCAGGGGACTGCAGTAGATCTTCACACTGTTTTCAGGTTGATGAAGGCCTGTCTTGCTGTCTTTCCGACACTGTCTTTGCCGTTCACATCTGTGCCGCCCGTAATTGAAACAATGCTGCTTAGGTAAGTGAAAGAGGCTACTTCCTTTGAGATTCTCCCGTTGATGGTGATTGGTGCTTGTTGTTGCTGATGGTGTAAGTTATGTATCATCATCGCCTCTGTCTTGTCTACATTCACTTGGATTCCCGTCTTCGCTGCCTCTTCTGTCAACTTGTCAGATTTCGCCTGTAGATCCTCGAGTTTGCGCAACATTAGACACATCATCGACGACATCCAAATCTTCTAGGATCTTTACCTCGCTCCAACGAACCCTTCTCCTCTCGGTCTTCACTGTTTGCTGCATGATCCAATAGACCACAATCAGGAAGATCATGGGTGATAGTAGACAGCCTTGTCTTACTCCTGTCTTCACTTCACTTCAGAGGCATCACTGAGCTTCCCGCTGTGAATTATTTGGAATGTGGTATCTTCAAATAGTTGTCGAGTGAGGTCGATAGGGGTTTGAGGTACTCCGAAGCGTCGAAGCGGCTGCCAAATTACCTCTCGATCGACGCCGTCAAAGGCCTTTTCAAAGTCAAGGAAGTTGAGGTAGAGGGTTGACTGCCATTCTTTGCTCTGTTCTACGGTGATGCGAAGCGTTGCAAATTGGTACGCACACGATTTATACTTCGTGAAGCCAGCCAGCTTCCTTCCTTCCAGACCTTCAACAGTAGTGGTGTGAGCATGTCCGCTGTTGTCTCTGCGTCCGTTTTCTGTGCTTCTGGTGGAATTCCATCTGGTCCTGCTGCTTACCTGCATTTTGGCAGTTTTTTGGCATTCAGGACTTCTGTTGTTGTCTAGGGGCTTGTATCCACTGATAATTGTGCGGTTGCTGGTGGTATTTCTGGACGAGTTGCAAGTGGTGGTCGATTCAAGAGTTTTTTGAAGTGGTCAGCCTATTGTTTCCCTTGTTTCTCCTCCTTGGTAACTAGGTTCCCTTCACTAACTTTCATTGGTTTCATCGGTGTTGATCTCTTCCTGGATAGTAACCTGGCTAATAATATAATGTCAGGTCTCTCCTACAGACAGCCTGTTCCGCTTCGCTTGCCAGTGTGTTGTGAAAGTGTCTTTCATCTATGCGCACACTCTTCTTCGTTCAGTGTTTCATAAATTGTACTCAGTTTCTCTTCTCGTCGTTCATCGCTGCACTGGTTTATCTTCTGCTTCATCATCATCCTCTCCATCCTCTTCAGCCTCCATGTGTCAGTCGAGATCCATTCGTATTCTTCTCTCTTCTTCCTGCCTAATACGGTTATGCAGGTTTCTTTCCATATCTCTTTCAAAGAGTCCCAGTGTTCATCCACACAAGTTTCGTCAGGGATTTTGCTTGATATCTCCCACTTTGTTCTGATGGCTGACGTGAAGATTTTCTTTGTAGTTTTGCCCTTCAGTTTTCCGTTCTGAGTGTTGAACTTGAAATGAGGTCTACCACCAACTTCTTTGAAGGTTTTCAATTTGATTTTGAAGGTTACTTGCGGTAGGTGGTGGTGCGCACTTACATCTGCTGCTCCTTTTGATCTTGTGTCCAGCAGGCTGCGTCACACTGAGATGAAGTCGATCTGATTTCTAGTGTGTCCATCTGGTGAAACCACATCCATGTCACTTCGTGTTTGTCCTCGTGTTTGTACATACTGCCCCCAGCCACTAAATCATTGAATGCGCAGGAGCCTGCAAACAGTTCTCCATTCTCATTCATTTCACCGAGTGCTTCTCGACCCATGATGAGTTCCCTTCCTGTGTTGTCCGCACGCTGTTTGGCACTCATGTCACCCCACCCATTAGAATTTTCATTTCGCCATCTAGGGTGGGGTCTTGTCCGTTACTGGTTGCAGTTGTCTATGGAATTCCTCCCTCCTCTCTTGATCTGCAAGATCTGCGGGTGCGAAGCGTAGCCTTGTAGGATTGTGACTTTCCTTTCTTTTGAGTTGAATCTTGCTGTCGAGATCCTGTATGAGGAGATTGGCTCCCACTGCATGAGAGCCTTCGATGCCGTTGAGGACATCGCGATAGTTACTCGAAAACCCAGTGTGCCTGTGGTTGTCATCTGGATGGCAATATCGGGGTATATTATTGACCCTCTGGTTGATAGTTTGGACAGTCCAGCTACATTCTATCTACTTTCGCAGATTCCAAGCGCTTCTATGCCATACCTTCTCACCTCTTTTGCAATCTGGGCAGCCTTGCTAGGTTCATACATGGTGCGTATATTCCACGCCTCCGTGTTTACTTTCGCTCTCATCGAGAGAGAAGAGAGATACCACGACCGCTTTCTTGAAGCTTTTCGCCGACCGGCGTCATTTCGTCTCCCCTACTCCGGCAGAGAATAAATTTATTTTTATTTTTTATATTTCGTCTGTGCTTTCAAGTTTCTGTAGCAGTCGGGTTGGTTTTATGGGTTAGGGTTGCTAGCCCTATGCCCAACCTTTCCTCTGTATCCAGGCCTAGGAACGTATAGTAACTAGCAAACTAGTGAACTATTCGAGGTTTTCTCAACTCACAGGCGTACAGAATGAAGATAATCTTGTACGGCAGATACGAGTATGAGAGGAACAAATATTCTATCGCGCCAGCATAAAAACTTTTCAGTGTGTGGTGATGTTTCATCTTCTGACTTAAAAAACCTTGGGGATCTTCTCTTGGACTTGGCACTGAGCCCCTTGTTATATTTATGATGCATCCATCTTACTTCTGAGTATACTGTATAGTGCCATGTGATGATTGAAGATGGGACAAAAATTGTGGCAGGACTGAAACCAGAGATTTTCAAGTTTCCGGCCTAGCGCATGTGATATCCTGTCAACGGGTAATTCCCGAATTCGAGAAGACAGCACAACAAGCGCTACGAAGGACACTGAGTACCTGATAACTGGTGCAACAACCTCTAAGCTGCTCCATGTCAGTCGTACCACTACGGTTATCAAAGAGAGTAGAGGCCAGTGGGGGAACGAAGATAGCACATAGTATAGGTTAAGCAACGAAAGAGTAGAAAGCTAATACAAAACAGCACATAAAGAAAAAAACAGCCATGCAACATGAGACGGGGGATCTGACCGTGGGGACTTATGGAGACGCCCAAGAATGCTTGAGGCCTTTGGGTGCGAGAAGACACGGCACAA